TAAGGTGGGTTATATCAATAAAACACAATATTAGAAACATATTTTTTTTTAAAAAAAATTAACAACCATAAAAATATGGTGGATCCTAAAAACATACACTATGAGACACTATTTGTACCTTTATACTCTTGGAAATGGGATGGGGGAAAAGGCAGCAGGGTTAGGGTTAGATCCCACTTCAAGCACTGCTGAATTCTAAGTCCAGATGGGCTGGAGATGCTTAACAAACACACTACAATGATACCTCGGGTAAAGAACTTAATTTGTTCTGGAGGTCCATTCTTAACCTGAAACTGTTCTTAACCTGAAGCACCACTTTAGCTAATGGGGCCTGCTGCTGCTGCTGCGCCGCCAATGCGCAATTTCTGTTCTCATTCTGAAGTAAAGTTCTTAACCCAAGGTAATATTTCTGGATTAGCGGAGTCTGTAACCTGAAGCATATGTAACCCGAGGTACCACTGTAATTTAATTGCAAGTAGTCTGTCTTAACTGAATTGTGGGAAATGTTGTGTTGTCCTAATCCTATTCAATCAAGAGACCCATTTAAAAATGCCTATGCTATTTATAAGTTTAAGGATATGTTATACTAAAGGTGAGCAGAATTTGGGTAAATAAATAAAATAAGGGAATCTACTAGGGCTTAGCCCACCCCCAGTCTCCATCATTGCCCCACCCCCAGGGATGTTTATTTACAAGTGTTTAACACTCTGGTGTTCCAATGACTTTCTACAACCCTGATGAAAAAATCCCCTACACCTCTCTTTGCCTCAGAATAGGTAATATTTGTGCTCTAGTTTCTTTTCTCTTTCCAATACCCTTTCCATTCCTGCGTAGTTACCTGTGCTGCCTTCAATGAAGCATTATTTACATCCTGATCTTGAGCTTTCCATATGGCTATCCAACTCCTACTAAGTTTTTAGGAAGGATTTGAAAGTAGGGGATGTTATCTCCTGAGGGTTAGGCTTGGTAGACTTGAAGCTTTTGGAGGGGGGTGAAGTCCAATGCAGTGTTACGTCCTATTACAGTGGTGCCTCGCAAGACGAAAAGAATCCGTTCCGCGAGTCTCTTCGTCTTGCGGTTTTTTCGTCTTGCGAAGCAAGCCCATTAGCAGCTTAGCGGATTAGCGCTATTAGTGGCTTAGCGGGCTTAGTGGATCAGCTGATAAGCGGCTTAGCGGCTTAGCGGATCAGCTGATAAGCGGCTTAGCGGCTTAGCGGATCAGCTGTTAAGCGGCTTAGCGGATCAGCTGATAAGCGGCTTAGCGATCAGCTGTTAAGCGGCTTAGCGGATCAGCTGTTTAGCGGCTTAGCGGATCAGCTGATAAGCGGCTTAGTGGCTTGGGGAAAAAGGGGGGGAGGGGAAAAAACCTGCAGGAACTCGCTAGACATTTTCATCTTGCGAAGCAAGCCCATAGGAAATTCGTTTTGCGAAGCACCTCCAAAACGGAAAACCCTTTCGTCTAGCGGGTTTTCCGTCTTGCGAGGCATTCGTCTTGCGGGGCACCACTGTACAAGACTAAGAAAGAACCACACATAAGGAACTAAAGCTAGCCATAGTCTAGGATCCCAGTACATAGAATGAAAAAGTGAAAAGCTCCCTGACCAAGAGATGAAGGGATTTTGTTGTTGTTGTAAAGTTTAATCAAGTGAGATATAAGTAGCACATCTGAATTATTCACTCTGGCAGCATAACCTGGAGAACTTGGGGCAATTAATATCTAAGGCAGACTTACCCAGAATGAAATGTGAAGATTAGATCCAGACTGAACATGTACACAAAAGTCTCAGAGAAAGGGAAATAAAAAATGTAGCAGAAATATCATTAAAACTTCATATTTGCTGAAATTCATTGTTGAAGATACCAGGACCTTGGCTAGGTCACTGAAAACATTTGCTCTACTGTTTCCACCTGCATTACTCTAAAAACAGTTTTGATGGCGTCAAGAGTTGCAGATTCTTTAAATCACTTCCAGACATCATTCCCCCCCCCCCCCCGGGGATTTGATATTGCCTCTGCCATTTTCTCTAGAAAGCAACCAGGTTTGTGAGCCTCCCACAAGGTCGAAATCCACTGCTTGAGTATCAACTGACAAATATCTTTTTTGCCATTTACCAATTAATTGAGAAGGCTGCTAAGTTGTTGAGTAAACTAATTGTAAATGAGCACAGCACTTTGGGCTTCGCAGAATCTTTATTACTGTGGCTATGATAGATAGGCTGAGGGAAATCAAGCTATGCGCAGATATCAGATCCTGGAGGCCTTATTTACAAACTGATTTTCAATGGCAAACAAACCCTCAAATGTGCAGTACTAAGCAAAATGTGGTAAATAGGCCAAATCTCCTACTGGGATTTTTCTGTATGAGGAGGAGGAGGAGTGAATTGCAAACACAGTGACTCTTGTAGTTAGAAGAGTTACACAAGTGGAATACTGAAAAAAGCCTAGAAATTTCCAAAGAAAGAAATCAAATTTCACATGCTGGTAAGCTTGAAGGGGGTATTTGTTTGTGTGAAGGAAACCAACATCTTGGCTAATGCTTCTAATTAATGGGTGCCTGTTGCTCTGTTTCTGTATGTAAAGGCAAAACACAAAAGCAATGTTGTATTGTAAACAGTGCAGGTGTACAGATCACAAGTTCTGACAGACGGTGCAGTTGATTCTTGCACTTTTACTCACATCTCAGAAGATAAAACACATAAAACACATAGTATTTTGTTAAGGGTGTTCTGCAATCTCATCATTTCTACACAAACATCTTTTTTTTTTAAATGACATTAATAATCTCCCCACAAAGGGGTGGCAACCCATGGACCTTCAGATGTTGTTCAACTACAACTCCTATCATCCCTAACCATTGGACATGATGACTAGGGCTGATGGGACTGGAGTCTAAAAACATCTGGAGGGCCACAGATTAGATTTAGTGTTCATTCCACATCAGGTTACACACACACAAACAATTATTCTCTCCAGACGACATCCAGCCTAGATACTTAAATAGACTGAGGAGTAAAAGAGGATATTCAAAATAGAATTTTACATAGTGGGCAATTTATAGAGACTTACTGAACTTACTGAGGGAGGAAACTCAGATTCAAACCAATGGAAGAAATAAGGAGTCATTTAACAGACTGGTTACAGTACCACCAATTGTAATATATTTTTAAACTAGATAAGAAAAACGGATTTCTGGACCAAAGCTCACAATTTGAAATAGATTTATTAGTGAATAATGAAAAACTATCAACTAAAATGTATAAGCTAGTATTAGAGTACGAAGCAAAAGATTAACTGGTAAAAGCTTCAAAAAGGATCAAGGCTGGAGAGAGAACGATTAGACCTCCCCTCCCTGTACCCTGTTGTCCTAATGAAGATTGGGGAGGGAGGCACACCTGTAATTAAATTAAGAAAAATCCCAGATGTAGTTGCTAATTACACATTTAGACTAACATGTAGTTTGGCCCTCAGGGCCTGTTGTGATGGTATTGTTGGTGTCTCTGAAGCTCTTGGTAGGAGCAGGGATGGTCTTGACTCAATATGATTTCCATTTTTCAGTATTTGCACCCTCTGTGCTCATTTGACTCCTCTGCCAATATGTATGTATTACGTTACTGGAAAATGAATAAAATGGAATCCAGATGGCAGCTCTCTGTGCTATTGATTTGACATTTGCAAGCTAAAATAGGAATTTAGGAAGCTAGCATAATTATAATTTCCCCCCTCTATTTTTGAATCCTGTTTCTGAACCTTTAGCAGCAGATATTTTGTGGGTGAAACTCTTTTCCTGGTGGGGGTAAATTGATGTGGAAACCTGCTCAATTTCTCTTTGTTGGTTTGCTGTTGAATGCAGAAGGGTACAGATGGGGGAGGATATTGATTTACCGTATTTTTTGCACCATAACACTCACTTTTTTCCTCCTAAAAAGTAAGGGAAAATGTCTGTGCCTGTTATGGAGGGAATGCCTACGGGTGGCATGCCTACGGATTTTCCTCCTCTAAAAACTACGTGCGTGTTATGGTCGGGTGCGTGTTATAGAGCGAAAAATACGGCAGTTTGCATTTAAAGCTGAAATTCCCTAATTTGCACTTTCCAAAATTATACAACAGGGGTCAGCAAACCTTTTCAGCAGGGGGCCAGTCCACTGTCCCTCAGACCTTGTGGAGGGCCGGACTATTTTTTTTTGGGGGGGGGTATGATTGAATTTCTGTGCCCCACAAATAACCCAGAGATGCATTTTAAACAAAAGCACACATTCTACTCATGTAAAAACACACTGATTCCCAGACTGTCTGCGGACCGGATTTAAAAGGCTTTTGGGCCGGATCTGGCCCCTGGGCCTTAGTTTGCCTACCCATGCTATACAAGAAGTGAAACACAGCCGTCCTTTGTAAAAAGTTTGTAAAAAGAATGAGAAACCGGGGGAAACCAAATTTGACAGATTCGCCCATCCCAACTGAAGAGCAGGGCCTGTAAAATGTCTTCAGTGCTAGCAGTCTTGAAGATGAGGATTTTGCACCACTTTAGTGGTGCTACAGATGAGACTTGGAATGACATCTATTCACCACAGTGTAGTGGGAGTGCTTTGGTTTGATCACCCATTCTTTCATCTCATATCAAACGCTTTGGAAGGCTGCGAATGTGTGTTCAAGCCACTTTCACAGCACTATGGAACTTCCTACAATGTTGTGAACTGACAGCACAGTGGAGAGGGAGAAGAGCACCCCAACGAGGGGTGTAGCTATGACTGGGACACACCAGTGCAAACTAATGATGGAGAAAGGGGGTGAGGGCTGGGGGCTTAGGAGGTATTCATAGGACGGCAAGGGGGCAGTGGTCAGTTCACAGGAGCCAGAGGAAGGGGACACTTTAAGAAAAACACTGGGGCCTAATTTGATTAGTAGAATGCCTGGCATCTGGTAGGTGGGGCTTCTGTGCTGTGCTCTGGAATTGGCCCCTCCCTTTGGGTGTTCAGTTCAGTTCAGTTATAGAGAGCAACTGCCATTCTCGCCTCGCCATGTTGTTTTAGTTTCTCTCAGACAGTGTGTTATGGTGTTACAGTTTTCTTTATTATTAAAGCTTTGTTTGACATATACGTGAGCCGCTTACGTTGCTGAAAGAAAAGAAACTCTGCTGAAGAAGGGTGGCATATCCTCAAGTTGGGTGAGTTAGGGGATATTCATAGTCTGACAGGAGGATTGGTTTTTTTAAAAATCACCCCCACATCACCAGAGCCAGAGGGGGCCCCGTCTCTGTGAACACAGCGGGCTCTGAGGTGTCAGGAACAGCAAGAGACTGAAGCAAGCAAGGGAACACAGCCCAGCTCACTGGTCAGGTGGGGCTCATTAGCTCTGGGAGGAGGGTTGTGTCCCCTCAGCTGGATTAGGCTCAGGGCAAGTGAGGGTCACATGCCTCGTCATGGGACTGTGTACATCAGCAGGACTTGCTGCCAGGTATGCCATTGGTTCAAGACATACAGCTCCTGTTGTTAATCGGAAGCTATGCTTTTTTCTGTTTTAAACATCCACACATCCCTTTAAGTGCAGGAGAAGATATTCCCCCCCCCCGGGCCCACCAACCTATACATGTTTCAGTGTGACCAAAGAAGGAGTTCCAAGTTAAAATTTTGGAGGAATTATGCCCATATGCATGCCAATTCATGGAAAATATTGTGGAGGGGTGATGGTAAATTCACTTCAAAGTTTAAATATGCTTGGACAGTATTTTAAATTGCTGGGAGCTTCAATAGCAGTTTTAATCCCTCTTATTGTGTGGTCATTACCAGTATAAAATGGTATAGAAGTGCCTTTCTGCCCTTCACCCCCCCCCCAAAAAAATTGTTTTTTTCACTTGCTTAGACAAAAAGGCACCTTTTATGCCCTTCATAAATGCCCACTAAGAGCTGGAAAGAGGTGCTTTAAATGGCACAGTTGAAGCCAGTCTAAATTGTTGTCTTGTGTCCATTTAAGCAGTAAAAGTTGCCTCCCCTTCATTGAAAACAATAGTTACTAAATGAAGCAATTTGCTTTTAGAACATTGAATGATAAATTTCTCTTTAAGTTCTTTTTAACTTTCTATTTGTATTGTTTCTAAAGAGCACCTATTGTTCTACTTGCTGTGAATATTTTTTGTTTCCAATATCCTTGAGTGGAGAGAATATGTTACAGCAGCTCAATGGTACAACAGTTTGTGATTTATCTATCAAGGCTATTTATAGAGCAGTAGCCACCATAACGTTTAAGCTTTGCCTCTACTTGCTATCTAGAGACAAACAGATAAATCTTTTGCTGGTAGCAAATTAAATATTCAACCCCTGATGTTTTAGGGGCCTGGAATTCATGCAGCTATTTAAAAGTGAAATTGATTGTAAAATGATTTAGGGCAAAAAATGGAAAATTCTGTAAGATTAGAAAGAATTGGTGTGATAATTATTGATGGGCAGTTTTTTCCAATTTAGAAGTGGTCACCTAAAACATGGCTGCAGAAGCTATGCTAGATTACAATTAATATCATCTTTGACCACTGACCATGCTAGTTGGAGCTGATGTAAACTGGACACAAACAACAGCTGGAGGATTGCTAGTTCCCCAATTATGCCCTACAAGCCCAGTTCATGCTGCAACCAAATGACCTCATTTTAAATAAACCCCTGATGTCTGATCCAACACCAACAAAAGTTTTTATTTTTGCCAAATTTAATACAAATCCCTTTACACCAAGCTGGGTGGTGGTAGAATAAGTGAAGGTGCCCCTCTGCCCAACTCCTGGCTAAGTCAGCCTTCTGTTGGCAATACTCAATCAGTGCCAACCTTCTCCTTTTGCCCGTCAAATGTGGATAGGCAGGAGGGCCTCTGGCAGGATCCCCACCAGTGAAGGCCCTGAAACAGGGCATTCTGAGGGTGGGAAGGGGTTGAAACAGCCCAAGATCTGTTGGATTCCAAGCTAGTTTCACGGGCATCATAAGACAGCACAGAGCCCCATCCAGGCTTGATTGCTGTGCCATGCATGGCAGGGCTGTGGATACAGTAGTTGCTCTGCTGCTCTGTACAGCCTCAGTAAAGCAGCCTAATTCATTAAATTCATAAACTTCTCAGCAATTTCATATGCCCATTAAACAAAGCAAATGTAGCACTTCATGAGAAGTTTCCAAGAAGTCAATAGCAAGTAAAGGTAAAGGGACCCCTGACCATTAGGTCCAGTTGTGGCCAACTCTGGGGTTGCGGCCCTCATCTTGCTTTATTGGCCGAGGGAGCCAGTGTACAGCTTCTGGGTCAGGTAGCCAGCATGACAAAGCCGCTTGTGGCGAACCAGAGCACCTCACAGAAACACTGTTTACCTTACCGCTGGAGTGGTACCTATTTATCTACTTGCACTTGACATGCTTTCAAACTGCTAGGCTGGCAGGAGCAGGGACTGAACAACGGGAGCTCACCCCATCATGGGGATTCAAACCGCCGACCTTCTGATCGGCAAGTCCTAGGCTCTGTGGTTTAACCCACAGCGCCACCCGCGTCCCTTCAATAGCAAGTAGGGGGATGGAAATCTGTTGCTAGACTACAGCTTCCACCACCCCTGACCATTGACCTAGTTTGTTGGGGCTGGTGGGAGTTGTAGTCCAACAACAGATGAGCACCCTCAGGTTTTCCACAGGGAGCAATGTTGTGCAACCAAACCAAATGCAAAAAGCCTGTGCCTAAAAACCAAGCACATAACTCCACCCTTGTAAAAGTTGAACTATAATTGGCAAGCTCTGACAGTGCAATTTTTAAATGCATGCACAGAGAGAGAGAGAGAGCTGTGGAAAAGTTGGAGAGAATTATATTACCAGAGGAAATAAGTTGTGAGAACAAATTGGAGCACTATCTTAGGAACGGTGGATTTAATGGAAGTGTAGGAAACCATAAATAGCAAAGATAGCCATAAAGTTCTCTCTTCGTTTCCAGCAAAGAAAAATTAAATAAGAAGAGTGAATAACTTGCCTGTCAAACTTTTAAGGTGTTGGCCTTGGGGTTATTCCAGAAGGAGCCGGAGGCAAGCCCCCAGGAGATGCTGCGAAAGTAGGGCAGCTGCAAAAAATCATGGACAAATGAGGTATGTGTGTACATTTACACTATGCTCTTCTGTTGGCCTTCCCCTTGTATGTTTTTTCCATTTTTAAATCAATCAAAAGCTCGCCTCCTCCCATCACAACGGCAAGTAAAAGCTATAGAGAACACTCCTGCGAAAACCGTGGCTTTGTCATTATAATGCCACATTTAGCAATTTAAGCCCAGGTCCCCTGTTGCGATTTAATTTTTGAATGAAGCTATGTATGATTCCCAATCATGGTTTTCTGAATGAGCAGAAGGCACCATTTCCTGTAGAAACTGAGCAATGATCATGAACCTCATTACAACAGGCAAGATCTAGTCAAAAGTTAAGTGTTTGTTGTCCCACTGTAGCCTTATTAGACTTTACCGACTGGTGGGGTCTGCGTTGTTCCCGGGAGGGAGAAAGGAAGTCAAATGACACCGAGGTTGATTCAGAGAAAGAGTTTATTCTGCTCTCCGGACAGCAGAAGGCACTTGCACGATCAGTTCACAGCAAGTCCAAAGAAATGAGAAATTTCATGCAGTATATATATCCTCCAGGCACCCTCTCCCCCCTTCCCCAGGAATCCAACCACGTCAGCTTATACACGCAAGTTGACATCACAGATGTTCCTGCTCCGGTACTCTTAACCATAAAAGGGTGTTCCTTTTCCTGTACTCTTGACCATATAAGGTTGTTCCTGTTCCTATACTCTTATCTTGGGGCAGGAGGTCACCAACTCTAAGAACACTCCTGGCGCCGTTCCCGGACTAGGTCTGTGCGTCAGAGTGTGGTCAGGATGTGAGATAAGACCCAGACGTGCCATCCCTGCTCCACTTTGGAATGGACAAGGCCATTCATTAGGCGTCACGGACTGATAAAGGAGAGAGCTTTGTTTATACAGCTGTGTTCTTGTTATGCATTTGCTCAACAGCTCAAGTTAAAGCATTTTAGAAATGCTCCCTTGGAGAAGGAAAAATGGATTTTGGGTCCCGTTTCAAACTGACTGCACAGAAACCCATTCCTTCACCACTGCTTTCAGCAGAGGAGAAAGAGGGTTTCAGCAGCCAATTTCCTGCATACTACATGAGTGGAGCAGACTGCTTTGTCATAGGAACAGCTGCCCAGCTAAGTTTTCTCCATGCTGGTGTGCCATTGAGGCAGAGCTTTTGGGGCATTGCAGCAGGCCTGTCCCACTGAATCAGGAGCTGGAATCCTTTCTGAGCCCAAGTTGGGAAGCAGTCTACCCCCACCACAAGGGGCTGCATGTCAGCAGTAAGCTCCGTTCCAGCTATGCAAAGCCAGAGGTTTCTATGGCCTCCCATCTTTCCACCCACTTAAGCAAGAAGCGATATCAAAGTTTAAGGAAGAATTCTAGCTGGCCAAAAGCACTTGAGGGCATAGAGTACAGCTGGTGAGGGATATGACCTGGAGAGAATCTGGTGTGGGGGGTGCCACTTGAATAAAATACTGAGGGAGCTGATAAGACTCAACACACACAATTGATCACAAGACACAGCACACTCACACCATTGGAATGGCAAGGCCCATCAACTTGGGGCGGGTGGCCTCCTCAAACATTTGGGGGGGGGGCGAAGGGACCTTGGCCCCTAGGAGTTGGCTCCTATGGTCTGGTGGGTTGCACTTGATACGTGGGCTGGAGGTTCCCAACCCTGTCATAAAACCCAAGGGTTATAATTAACTTAAGTTGTATTCCGAGTTGACCTATGGACTCATAATCACAATCTTCTTCTAGTCAGATAGCTGCCTGTGAAAATGTTACTCTAGTCCATTTTCATTCATTTTAACATGCTCTTTTCATATCTGATGAAGTGAAATGTAGGTCACTTGGCTTTTGTAAATAAAAAATGCAGCCAGGATTGTTGCGTGTCGAGGTCCCCAGGGCCACCCCAATAACTCACACATCAGACAGAATTTTTTGTTTAAGGTTTTTGGCATAATTTTGGCCACAACTTTATTAAAATATAAAAATGTGAGTTGCCTAGGCATTGGTTGCGACTATCTGCCCCCACCGTGGGGGACAGACTGACATTCCGCACGATGCAAAAGTCAGAAAAGGGGAATACACTTGGGAGGTAGCGATGGAGCAGGGAACCTGCCCTCAGCCCTCCCCAAATGCAACCAGGAGCTCATTGCTATGGCCCAAGCCCCCTTGACAGAGTGGACAAGCAATAGGTAGCCCCCGATTCCTTTAACGGAATCCCTTGCAGCAGCAGCATTAGAGGGGCAGGCACAGCCAATCCATGCCCCTCAACCAACCAAACCATAAACCAATGCCTAACCGCAACCTTACAAGTTGTGACGATTTGCTACACAGTAGGCAAAAACCAAATGGCCCCAGCCAATCAGCCAGATGGACAAAATTCCTACCGGGCCCCTGCCCCAAGAGCAGACAACCCCATGACAGGCATAGCAAGGTCAAAGCGAACAACCCTAATTCTAGGGAGGGGGGACGGGCAATCCGATGCACAGGCGAAAAGAGGAAGTCCTAGCCTCGTGCAATGAGTTTTAGCATTTCTGGCTGTCAATCAACAAATGGCAACATTAACTTCTTCCCAACAACAAGGGAAGCCCCAATCGCATCAATGGCCAATGATCAATTAGCCCGCCCCCAACTTTGGAGTGTCCTGGCGGCCCCCACCACAACACGTGCTCTCCATGAAGGAGAACACGCTTTATCTATACACAGCATTTCCCATAAAGTGAGGCAAGTTCTTAAGAGTAGATGTTGCTCTCAGATGTAGTTATTATAGTTACAGAGCTTGGTAAACCTTTCTCATCTCTTCTTATTGCTAATGTATAAAGATAACATCATTTTGCTCAGCTAAGCAGCTTGAATGCAACTCAGAGGATGGTGAGATATGATGGGAAGATATCAGATAGGGTGGTGATATACAACCATGAAGAGGTATGTGGGAGAGAACAGCTGCTTTTTTGTTCTCATTATATTATAACAAGAAACGTACCTAGTTGTACTTCACAGAGATAAGGAGATGGTTGCTGGAGAAAGGATTTCTGCAGTTCCAGAGCAGGGCTGTACTTGCAAAATGCATTGCTGTCCCAGAAGCTTTGAGCCTAACATGATACCCTCTGGAAGTTGTGGATTATTCCCATTATCCCTGATTATTGGCCATGCTGCCTGGGCATGATGGGAATTCTATAGGCATTCAAAGTCTGGAATAAGGAGTGGGGAATTTGGATTTTTAAAAGAGTGCAGAAATATAGTTTGCTATTGTAGATTTTCTTGAATTGAACAGCTATGAAGAATTAGCAAAATATGCACCTTCCTCTGTGGTTTGTATACAAGTGTAAACATAAATGTCCATTACCATTTTATCTTTTTACAGTACATTTATGGCCTGTTTCCATTCTCAGAAAATCATATGCATTCCCTTTGGTTTTAGAAGCATTACCCTAATTATCACAGCTTTCTAAATACTTAGCATAATGGCTTATAGTGCTATATACTTTTTTAAAAAAGTACAGCACAGTGCCTGTTTAACATATAATTCTAAGAAATAATTCTAGTATGATGCTGCTAATTAAAACTCAGCATCACATGCACACTCTGATTATTTTAGTCCTCACTCCAATATGTGGATATACAGTGGTGCCTCGCAAGACGAAATTAATTCGTTCCGCAAGTCTCTTCGTCTTGCGGTTTTTTCGTCTTGCGATGCACGGTTTCCCATAGGAATGCATTGAAAATCAATTAATGCGTTCCTAGGGAAACCGCCTTCAGACCAGGTCCGGGGACAGTCTGTCCCCGACCTCTTCTGAAGGCTGGGGGGGGACAAGGGCTTTTCTTCCCACCCCCAGCATTTTAAAAAACCCTGGGACAGCGGAGGACTTCTCCGCTGTCCGGGGCGATCTTAAAATGCTGGCGGGCGGCATTTTAAAATCGCCCCGGACAGCGGAGGACTTCTCCGCTGTCCGGGGCGATTTAAAAGCCCCTGGGAAGGCAGGCAGGGGGGACAAAGACTTTCGCCCCCTGCCCGCCTTCAGAAGGTGTTCCCGCCCCCCGCCCCGCTTCGGAACAGCGTTCCGAAGTGGGGCGGCTGGGGCAGTTGTTCCCGCCCCCCCTCCCCGCTTCGGAACAGCTTTCCGAAGTGGGGCGGCTGGGCCAGGTGTCCCCGCCCCCCCTCCCCGCTTCGGAACAGCTTTCCGAAGTGGGGCGGCTGGGCCAGGTGTCCCCGCCCCCCCTCCCCACTTCGGAACAGCTTTCCGAAGTGGGGCGGCTGGGGCAGTTGTTCCCGCCCCCCCCTCCCCGCTTCGGAACAGCTTTCCGAAGTGGGGCGGCTGGGCTAGGTGTCCCCGCCCCCCCTCCCCGCTTCGGAACAGCTTTCCGAAGTGGGGCGGCTGGGGCAGTTGTTCCCGCCCCCCCTCCCCACTTCGGAACAGCTTTCCGAAGTGGGGCGGCTGGGCCAGGTGTCCCTGCCCCCCCTCCCCACTTCGGAACAGCTTTCCGAAGTGGGGCGGCTGGGCCAGGTGTCCCCGCCCCCCCTCCCCGCTTCGGAACAGCTTTCCGAAGTGGGGCGGCTGGGGCAGTTGTTCCCGCCCCCCCTCCCCGCTTCGGAACAGCTTTCCGAAGTGGGGCGGCTGGGGCAGGTGTCCCCGCCCCCCCCTTCGGAACAGCGTTTTAAAATGCTGGGGGTCGGGAGCGAAGCGCTGCCGACCCCCAGCATTTTAAAATCTCCCCGTGTCCCGGGAAGATTTTAAAATGCTGGGGGTCGGCATTTTAAAACCTTCCCGGGACACGGGGAGATTTTAAATGCTGGGGGTCAGCAGCGCTTCGCTCCCGACCCCCAGCATTTTAAAACCTTCCCGGGACAAAGACTTCTCTGCTGTCCCTTGGAGATTTTAAAATGCTGGGGGTCGGCAGCGAACGCTTCGCTCCCGCCCGCCAGCATTTTAAGATCGCCAGGGGCAGGCGGGGGGGGGCAAGACTTTTGCCCCCCTCCGGCCTTCAGAAGAGGTCCTCTTCTGAAGGCCGGCTGTGG